GCCTGGATGATCAGCTAAAACCAGCCTAGACTGGTTTAAGCTGTTTTTTTAGTAGGGATGGCACGTTCTCTCAGGTAGCCTTTGATTTATTTATTCATTTTCTCTTTTACTTTACATATTAAAACTGTGTAAACATGACAAAATATTTAATGTTTAATAGACAAATTACCGGTTCATAAACATTCAGGATGCGCGCGCAGCGAGGGTGCAGAAGAAAAAAAAACGGGATCGCTAGCATTTACAGCGAGGGTCATCATCAACAAGCAGAACTAACGTTACTGCATTCTGACAGTGAACTGCAGCTGTACAGCAGGGTATGTGAACACACATGTCTACATTTCACTCTGAGCATTCAGTGTCGCAGTGTAATTCACCATGTTTAACTGTTTCTGCTGAAATAATTGCTGCAATCAAAAACCAGGGATGTGTCTAATTCAGCAGAGCGTCAACTTACCTGATACAACAGGAGAACTGCAGAGTCCAGCATTATTAATTAGGTCCTCACTCCATTCAGCTCCCTTTTAGCCAAAGACTTCTGCGGTTGGCTAGAAAAGCATTTGATTACTTTTCGTAACCATAACCAGGTGTAAGTTTAACTATAACAAAACGTACAAATTTAACCATAAAAAATGTAAACATAACCAGGCATAACCATGTCAAAAACTACAAGTTTTAAATCAATAAAGTACGGCACCTTATTCTTTAAAACAAAAGTTCTATTAACGTAACTAAAAACGTTTTGAGAATACATTTCGAAACGATAAAACAAACGATGTAAACATAACCAGGAGAAACCATAACAAAACGTAGTTTTAAAAGGAAAAAGCACATAAGTTTGGCACCTTATTCTCTGAAAAAATGTTCTATTAATGTACTAGAAAAACATTTGAGAGTACATTTCATAACCATAACCAGGTGTAACTATAACAAAACTTACAAATTTTAAAATGAAAACGCACAAGTACGGTACCATAATCTCTGAACAAATAGTCTTTTATAACTAAAAAAATGTTTTGAGATTACATTTCGTAACCATAACAAACCGTGCAAGTTTTAATTAAAAATGCACAAGTACGGCACCTTATTCACTTAACAAATGTTCTATTAACGAACGTTACTAGAAAAACGTTTGAGAGTACATTCCATAACTATAACAAAACGTAAACATAACCAGGTGTAACCATAACATAACATACAAGTTTTAAAACAATAAAGCACAAGTTCAGCACCTTATTCTTTAAAACAAAAGTTCTAATAACGTAACTAAAAAACGTTTTGAGAATACATTTCAAAACAATAACATAATGTAACCATAACCAGGCAAAACCATTACAAAACGTACTAGGTTTAAAACAAAAGCACACAAATATGGCACCTTATTCTCTGAACAAATGTTCTATTAACGTTGCTAGAAAAATGTTTGAGAGTACATATCGTAACTATAACCACGTGTAACTATAACAAAACTTAAAAATTTTAAAAGGAAAACGCACAAGTACGGTACCATAATCTCTGAACAAATTGTCTATTATAACTAAAAAAATGTTTTGAGATTACATTTCGTAACCATAACAAACCGTGCAAGTTTTAAATAAAAATGCACAAGTACGGCACCTTATTCTTTGAACAAATTATCTATAAAATGTAAAAAAAAATATGTTTTGAGATTAAATTTCATAACATAACAAACCGTACAAGTTTTAAATAAAAATGCACAAGTACGGCACCTTATTCACTTAACAAATGTTCTATTAACGAACGTCAATAGAAAGATGTTTGAAAGTACACTCCATAACCATAACCAAACGTAAACATAACCAGGTGTAACCATAACATAACATACAAGTTTTAAAACAAAAAAGCTCAAGTTCGGCACCTTATACTTTAAAACAAAAGTTCTATTAACGTAACTAAAAAAAACGTTTTGAGAATACATTTTGAAACGATAACATAATGTAACCATAACCAGGCAAAACCATTACAAAACGTACTAGGTTTAAAACGAAAGCACAAAAGTTGGCACCTTATTCTCTGAACAAATGTTCTATTAACGTTGCTAGAAAAATGTTTGAGAGTAAATTTTGTAACTATAACCACGTGTAACTATAACAAAACTTAAAAAATTTTATAATGAAAACGCACAAGTACGGCACCAAAATCTCTAAACAAATTGTCTATTAACGTAACTAAAAAAAATTTTTGAGATTACATTTTGTAACCATAACAAACCGTGCAAGTTTTAAATAAAAATGCACAAGTACGGCACCTTATTCTCTTAACAAATGTTCTATTAACGAACGTTACTAGAAAAACGTTTGAGAGTACATTTCATAACCATAACAAAACGTAAACATAACCAGGTGTAACCATAACATAACATACAAGTTTTAAAAGGAAAAAGCACAAGTACGGCACTTTATTCTCTGAACAAATGTTTCATTAATGTAACTAGAAAAACATTTTAAGAATACATTTCGAAACGATAAAACAAAATGTAACCATAACGCCACATTCAAAGGTATTCCCATTGAGAGGCAGCAGTCGGCATGTAAAAACAACCTTGTCTTTTTATTTGGATTGCCAAACATGTTAAGGCAGAGACAGTATAAAAAGCAACTGCAGATTGATGATATAGCAGACATCAAGAAAAAAACCTAATGACGCGACTCGACCGACCGACACCACTGACCTCTGTCCAGAACACCACTTGTAAACATATTTAATTATGCATTACTACTGAAGTAACGAAGGGCTACGTCTGCCGTGTCGGTGAGGTGGTAGACAACCATACATTGCACTGAGTCAATACAAAGGTACATAAGCTAATTATAGTCGCCATTGAGCTTCGTTAAAGTATGTACAGCTATATACATCACGATAATACAGTATGGCACTGAGATGAACTGTTGATTAACATCCACTTTATACGATACAATAGATTAATGGCTGTTAATAACAGTGTATTCATGTTAATAAGTCAGAGCGAGCCACTTTAGAGTCACTTATAATCTATTGCAAACCGTCCTTTACCACAGAGGTGATGAAATAGCAAATACATTCAATAGTATGGTTACACAACGATATAAGTGCATACAAACAGCTAGATGTAGCCATTTACAGGCAAAGTCCAACGATTTACAGGGACCGAATGTTTATCATCAGGCTTCTCTCTGATTGGTCCTCCTCGATTAGTACATTCATTGGTTTAAAATGAAATTAGTCGCTGCCTCCATATGGAGGCGATGAGAAACACCATGGAATTGATGTCTGTGAATCCTTGTGAAGCATCTCACATCTTTCCGTCATTTTCTGCAGAGATTAAACAGAGATTATTAAACACTCGCAGCATTACGTGCCGATTCAATCAAACGAGGCTGCAATGCCAACATCCCTGATAAAAGTGTTCGAGTCAGTTTGTTTACTATTTTAATCATTCATTCATTCATTTTCTTTTCGGCTTAGTCCCTTTATTAATCTGGAGTCACCACAGCGGAATGAACCGCCAACTATTCCAGAATATGTTTTACGCAGCGGATGCCTTTCCAGCTGCAACCCATCACTGGGAAACATCATATTCACACTCATACACTACGGGCGATTTAGCTTAGCCAGTTCCCCTAAAGCGCATGTGTTTGGACTGTGGGGGAAATCGGAGCACCCGGAGGAAACCCATGCCAACACGAGGAGAACAAGCAAACTCCACACAGAAATAATAACTGATCCAGTCAAGATTGTAAAACCATGATACTGTGATATTCTTTCTCCAAGGTTATCATATCGTTGGACACTTATACCGGTACTACTCAAGGCCCCACGCCCTGTCTTCGTGTTTTTGTTGAGATTATGTCAAACATCCAATGAAAAAAACACACTTCAAAATTTCTCAGGGACCTTAAAGTCAAGTCAGCACAAGGTCTAGTCATGCATTCTCTGGGAATCAAACCTACAGTATAACACTGGCTTTGCTGGCACCATATTCTGCTGTCCTGAGCTACAGGAGTTAATTTAATGGCAGTGCTAATTGCACTGGTTTTCTCACCACTGGAGCAGGTCTGTGTTGTCGTCACTTGCTGGTTTCCAACCAGTGCCGCAGAACTCAAACCTTGAGGATCACAGATTACACAACATTACAATCAGCTCCTACAGCACCCTAACTATTCTTCTGTCTTCACTGGAAATGCATCCGTATTTGTGTAATGTTGTTTTCTACAGTAAATCTTAAAGGAGTCTTAAGAATTTATTGGGGCGAATTGTAAGTGTAAATTAAGCATTAGTGTGTAAAATAGACCCTGCTAAAAGCAGTTTTTAAATTAAAATATATTTAAGGTCAATAGTTCTATTATCCCGCTTTAGAATATATTTTTTAACTTT